TGTCCGATGGATCCGAATCAAATAGAATATGTATTTTTATACCTCAGCCTACCGAGGCGGGATAGTATCAGCCTCAGACTCGTTGAATCAACAAAGGTGATTCGCAGATTCCGGGATTTTACCTCCTCTCTCTTTCCAAGATAGGTACTTTGCTTCAACTGCACTCCCTGTTAATTCACGTCAAGAAGCCTTTCAATCGGGCTCTAGAAAATCCACGTCGTGGTCATAATGAGCCAGAGGATTAGCATCTGTCGACTCCGGCGCGTGAAAGATCCTAAGGTTACTACGCCGCTGATTGCTAGCAGTTGTTTTCTCCTTTTTGCTTCGCTGCTTTCTCTATTAGCCTTCAACGCCTGCGCTATCGCACACCGGTATGTTAGTGTCCGTAGGACACAACACAGGCACGCTAGCTGAGTCTCCAGCAACGGGTGGACATCGCGCTGGAGAGCCTGCTGCCGGTGTGCAGGCGGGCTCGTTCGAACATACAGGTGGCTGGGTTTCTGCTTGCTTGGATGAAACCACGGAGCTCCTCCATATGAAACGTTTCGCCCGTCTTGTAGGCTCGCTCGGCTTCTCGGTTGTTTGTGGCTACACAGGCATACCAACTGAGGCTCCAGCAGCGGGTGTACATCGCTCTGGAGAGCCTGCTGCCGGTGTGCAGGCGGGCTCGTTCGAACATACAGGTGGCTGGGTTTCTGCTTGCTTGGATGAAACCACGGAGCTCCTCCATATGAAACGTTTCGCCCGTCTTGTAAGCGCGCGCGGCTTCTCTGCTGTTTGTGACTGTACAGTGACTTGGCATCTCTTGCACACTATTTGGACAAAGTCATGCGGTAGTTTTAAATGATCTAGAGCCAAACCAGTACACGAAATATAGAAATTCACACCACACCTGAAGCATGTACCAGCATTGGCTCTATGCCCAACTATTTCGCAACTAGTGCCACAAGAAGTCAGGTTTGTCTTTACTGATAGCTTGGCAGATGTGACGGTAAAAGCGATAAAGTTGACGATAAGTACACAACAAAAGTACCATATTAAAATATACGGACACGAAACTAATACACAATAAGCAACCTCAGAATCGCAAATGAAACTGACTTCGAGAAAGATAAACACGAAAAATCTGCTTTGCACAAAGTAATCAGTGATGCAAACTGGCCTGTCAAATAGAGCGGGAAAAGCCGTCCGGCGAGCACTATCCAATTGAATTGTCGCCGTAGACCGAGACTGAGTAGTAAGGTTCGTTGACCGTAAGTTTTAATACTGGTCCCATTAGCTGCTGTTAAGCACATCAAGGATGGAGTGCGGTTAACAAAAGAGCCGGTTGGAGGTATTACGCTGATGTCAGCACCAGTATCGACAAAAAAAACGGAAACCAGTGGTCTGATCTACGACCGCGAGTCGATTCCTGTTGGCCGAGGACGGTGCTCGCCTCTATCGTCTGACCTGTTCGTTTCCCGACTGTGGGAACTCTGGCGGCTGCGTTTGATTGAAGGAGCAAGCTTGAGTGCATTTACGAGCTGAATGTCCGCAACAACTATGGTAACAACAAGTAATTAAAGTACGCGATGAAGACGGGCTTCTTGTTCGGGTCGATGAACAAGCGCTAGAAGAACGGCGTCGTGCTAGTCGATTTAACCGAAGTTCATCTATCTGTTTATCCACATCGTCCAGATGCTCACTAATGGAGTTTAGTAGACTGTGTATTTCAACGGCGTAGATGTCAGTTGTGCTAGGCTGCATTTCTAAAATATTATCAGCGATACTAGCGAGTTGCGTCAGCGGAACACTGTCAGCGTTGCTGGCCAGGATAGCCTGTACCTTACGTAGGTAAACGCTACAGAAATAGCTGCTTAAATAACGCGTCATCTAGTTTGCGGTCGCCTGATACACTGTGAAGACGTCTTTGGAACTAGGATAGAGGACGTCCGTCAAGTGCTTCACCGCTAATCAATTATTCAAGACGTTTGTGTTCAGAAACGGCGGTTCCTTGGACGTCTGCATGTTTACGCTGCGAATAAGGCTTAGCGTCATCCGGTGAAGACGAAATATCTCATAGGTCAACAACAATCTCTGGGGGCAATACGACTAGCACATGATAAAACATGGTTTGTTCATGTGTGATATTGCGAAGAAAAAACTGCATGGACCTGGGTAAACCATATCTGGGGGTCATGGTGCCAGAAAGGTGGAAGATTCACAGAAACTAGGTTAATGTCTGGTAGTGAAGAGTATGGTGTTTTAGGCGAAAATAAACAGTTGAACGTAAGGTGAGTACAATGTGCTTCAAGTCGGGGTCCTTAATCATTAGTGCCGCTTAGAGCGTGACTAGTTACCAACTCAGAAGGGTAGGCACTAATATAACTTAATATTGTACACATAGTAATGATATATACAACAGAGGCTTATATCATGTGCTTGCATGATGGCTGTGGGTCCCATTCAGATTGCAGTGCGGTTACGCCTGTATGCGTCGAGCATTGCGCACGTGAACTGGAGCGCACACGTCCGTTGTTCGGTCGTTCCAGCGATGTTATGTTGTTGCACCTTGGTGTGACATGTATGTCAGCGTGAATGAGAGCTAAAGTGCATTCCCAATTGTCTATGTTTGTCACGTGTTTCGACGCTGGCGTGTGCAGAGGTCAAAATGCTGTTTTGACATGGCGTGTATATCACGTGGTGTGTATCATGTGGCTTAGTGATTAGGCTTTGCCATGCAGGTTAGGTGGAAAGTGCAGTTCCACAAACATTTTTTGAGAAAGTGGTAAACAAACCTAACATCGGCTAGCCGAGTATGTGCGAATGCCCTTTTTGAACCGAAGACTGATAGTAGTAGCTTGTGTTCGGTCAACAACCTGAATCGCCGGGTGTACAGCATCTTGTGGAACCTGGTGAAGGCAACCACGATGGTCAGGGCTTTTTTAATCTGACCCTAGTTCTCCTTTGGCGTCAGCTTACGTGAGAGTGCATAACCGCTTTTTCAGAACAACTGGATACGATGGGAGCCACCTGCTCCGATCCCGTAGGCAGAGGCGCCATTTGCAACCGAAATCGGCAAGGTTGGCTCATTATGGATCAGCAGTAGGTCAGAATTCAGCATGGATATCGGATGAACGAAAGCCTTTTCCCATGAGGGTGACCCGTGCCAAAGAACGTCCTTGTGCTACAACCGATTGTGCTGCGTTCGAACATCGCATAGCAATGGCAAGAAGGCACTAATGGTTGATGACGCCCAGGAAGGATTGCAATTGGGACACATTTTCTGGAGCTGGTAGCTGCTGGATGCCTGACATTCCCAGGATCAGGATAATGGCCACTAGCATTGAAAACGAAACCAAGCTGTTTGATCGACGGACGAAATAATCCGCCTTTCTCCGCTTTCAAACGGAATCCATATTCCTGGACACACTGAAGTACCGTGATCGGACGCTCTCGCAGATCTTCTAGGGTGCGACCAGTAATGAGTAGATCGTACAGCAACGCAGCCGTATCCGGAATGCCAGATCATGGGGTCCATCGTCTGTTGGAAAAGGGCCGGAGCGGTTTTGTTATATACCTCTGGGGGCAAGTTTGATCCCACAGTTGATCCCACTTCAGAACACAGAAGGGCTGCCACACCAATGAGTTTTATTGACACAGCACACATATACGGAGCGGGGAGGAAGGAGGCATTCAACCAGTCATTCACTGTCGGTTGCTCGTTCATTTAAGTAGGACCCAGAAGGTATTTGTGTGTTTGTATGGTTGTAAGAACAGGTGGAAGGAGCAAGTGTATCATAACACATAACAGTGTTCGGATTGCAGATATGAATTGTTCTGGTACAAAACAGGGTTCATTGTGACAAAATAAACACACTTGCCTTCCCAGCAACTCATGTTCCGGAATGTGCACAGTTACAAAAAAGTCCAAGCAATTCGCCAGCCAAGTTATACTTTCTGGACATTCCGCCTTTGCATAGCTGCGACTCTACATCTCCCCTCCCCCGCGAAAAGGAATTGTTAGTCATACGAACGTTTTTGTGGGTTCACCTGTAGTCGCATAGTTGGCTTCCGGGTGCGATCAGTACGTTTTGGTTGCAAACTCTTTTCCTCCGGGACTGTCGCACATTCCTCGTCAGGCGCGCGTGGCGTTCTAGGGCGTATATCGAAACTGTTTAAGAGAAAATCAAGCGGCAGAATTCGATTATCTGTACTCTGTTGGATATTGGTAGCTCTCAACTGATTTTGCATGCCTAATCCAAATAAAATCACCCACCCTGACTTTATAAATCACTCTTCCTATTTGGTTCTGAATCGTACCCGTTGTCCAAAGAGGTTTACCTGTTCGATTATCTTTGAGCAAGACTTTCTGTCCCGCATGAAAATGACGTTCTTGGGTTCTATCTCGCTGCTTATAATGCTTCTCCATCTTCATATTTCTGTCTTGTGGACTAGTGCTGATATCGAATAAAGTAAACGCATATGACGACGTAAATATTCGTAAAATGAGCATACGCAAGAAATTGGTTAAAGGTGAATACGCGATAAGTACAAAATGTCCAAAGTTATTTAAGAACTACCACGTGATAAAATTACGCAAGTTTACCGCAATTTTCATGAGCGACGTGTGTAAGTTGAAGAAGATTATCAAGTACGAAGAACAAACCAAATAGAGTGCAATGAATTTTATCCACCTTAAAAAGACCTACTTTGAGTTGGTTTAGCCCAACTGCGGTGAAGAAGCATCATGAATACAATATCAGCTTCAGCATGGGCACTATATATATATATATATATATATATATATATATATATATATATATATATATATATATATATATAATCAAATAGCACGGTGCTCACAGTTATTACTGTATTCCTGTTGTTTGTCTCTTGTTGTTCTCCCTGCTAGCGTTCTGGTTAAGCGCACAGTCGCTGTGTCCCCCTCACACATTTACTCTGTCAGTTTCTTCATTATTTGTCTAATTCCCCGCTTTCACCCACTGCTTTGCTTCAGCATGGTGACGTGCAACACGGAGTCCTTCCGAAATCTGGTGACCGATGTTTTTGTCCAGTTGAATGAGATTGAAATCCAGCTCAGTGGTTTGGAGGCTTGGGCTGGACTTCCTCCTGAGTGTTTTTCTCCTACTTCTGCATCCTCTAGCATGCCTTTCGACGCAGATCAAATTTCCGCAGAAGCTCAAACTTTAGTTGAGGTAGTCAGACAACTGCAGCTCGGGCTTCACTCAATGGTTTCAAAGCCTTCTTCCCAGTCTTTGTCGATAACCAGTGCCAACGCTGTTTCGTCTTCAGTAACCCCTTCCAAATCCTCCGTTGCAGCTTCACAGTCCAGAGGTATTCCAACTCCGGTCTACGGTGGCGCTCACGTTACACCGTCATATTCGGCTACCCCCGTTGTTGCGCCATGCTCCATATCTTCTACACATGTGGATGCCTCTCCTCAAATCCAGGATTGTGGATCATACGCGAACTTTGCCTACAAGTCGCCATGTGCTGTCTCAGGATCTGGCTCGATTCAAAGTCAGTCGACATCTGGTTTATATCCATCTCCTTCAATGCATATGAGTACAGATACATTCACACAACCTCCGTCTGCAAGCAGACAATCAGGTTCTTCCTGTCCAGATCCAAACTTTACCATATCTGCTTCCAATATGAGAGCGGACTACCATAGTCACATTCAACAAGTAGTGAGTACTCCCGACCAACAGCTCGGCCCATCTGCCTAGCGTCTCACTCGCATTTGTATACCTGTTTTCGAAAACCACTTGCGCCATAGCTCTTTGCCTTTTCTTTGTTGTTCAAATGAACAACCCTTAGTGATGCTTGCTTTCGAATTGATTGTGTGTTTTGTCTACCCAATTGTTCTATCTGTGTATCTTTATAATCTCGTTTTGTGTCTGATTGCTATTTCAAATGCAATCTAAGTCTTATCCGTTATTGTGCGGTTGCTACTGATCTCGTCGCAGCAAAGCTAGACCTTAACGTTGTCGTTTTGTTCTCCGAGGGTTCAGAAAAAGTCTGGATGGCGATCACAAATCCTTATTAAGAAGACTCGTGGTTATTTATATAGGGCATACAGTATTTCGATGTCTTTCGTTCACTGGCTGGCTCTCGTTAACTAGTCCGTATCGTCAGCTACATCCCATTGGTTTGAGCTCGTTCTCCATATGGGTCGATCCATGCTTATTGGGGTCATGGTTGCACTGGGTCTCGCTGTTAAGATCACGGATAGACTGCACGGTGGCGTCTGCTTGTCCGTCCGCTCATCAAATCGATTATCCCACGATTGGCTATCTGCCACGGCTACGTGTGTTGCTAACCTAGACTCAGGTGTATGCCCTCCACTCGCCGTACGGCTAATCAATCCGCTTTCCTACGGCGTGCTGTTTCTCCATTGCGCTGCACTGCACCAGTCATGCTTGCTCGGCTTTCGTCTGACTGACCCCCATTCCATCAGTACCGCATCGATCCTATCCGCCCCGCCACCATCACACGTGGTTCGTTAATTTGTGTATCCTACTTGGGTCCACTGAGCTGCGCTGGCTGACACCTTCCAATGGTCTTCTGAACAAAACAGACCAGCGTTTATATTTCATGCAAGCCTAACCTCCGATTTCTCTACATCGAAGGTTGGGGAGGGATTAGTGGTCCTCTTCCTTCAAACTTTGCCACTGCATGCAACAACGTACGTTGTACGCCCAGCTTTATTGGCGTAAAGAACGCGCGCCACTGTTGATTCTGACGATAAAAGAACACCGTCCGTGACCATTGGTTTGTTAGCACCCGCCTGGGGTCTGGCGTTTCTTGGTCAATCAAGTGCAAACCCGACTAAAGTCACCAGCAGTTGACCGCGGTCGAAAATCCTGTACAACGTTTACTGAATCCTTCATGGTTGTACGTGGCTGGTGTCAAGCAGTTCCCAGCGGGACTGCAGTAATATTGTCGAGCTAGACATGTTGCTGTCATGTGTGAAACTTTTGGTTAAATGACTGCAGATCGGAGCATTCCAACAAAAACCCTCTTTCGGTGTGAGCGGACAGAGAGAATCATCCAACTGCTAGATGCAATCACTAGCAATCGTTCGACTCCAAGTTTCCTCCTTTCTGCACGAATTCTGTTCTCGGGCTAATCGGAAAGACTATTGCTAGCTTCACTGCCCACACTGTCAAAAAAGCTTGATCACTGTCGCGATGATACTAGTACTTGGTGCGATGGTTTGCTTGCCTTGGTGATCATTTGAACTATGCTGGGTGGGGCGTTTTGAGCCTCGAGAGTCAATCATATAAGACCGGTCAGTGGTTAGAGGCCAGATAGACGTTGTCTTGGTCGGAGTGAGTGTCTCTTTGAGCGAATTCCCTGTAGCCCACTACCCAACTCCCACTACTTTGCAATCAGGTTCTTGAATTAAACGCCTTGATTGAGAACTTCGACAGGGCTGGCAGAGCCCTACCAAACCCAACGAAGTTCACCGGCACCAGTGCACTATCGGACCCGAATAATACGATCGCTATGCAGAGACATAAACAACTCAGTTCGGAGCATATCTGTCTACGGAAACGATCACCAAGGGCCTACTCATCTGCACAGATCACAACGGAGTTGTCCTCAGTGGGAATACGGCTAACGTATCCCGCACAGTTTCCATGGAACTCGTCCTAGCCTCACTATCGTATTTCCGGATCTCTCCTCAAGTCAACACTCTGCCTACTGAGCTGTGTTCATGTCTGTGCCTTAGCCACCGAACACACTCAGCAATTGTGATGTGTCCAACGTCTCAACAGCATTGAACCTACCCATCTCTGCCCGGAGATAGAACCACTACACGGCAACTCATGTGCTAACAAACACCTTCCCTTTCAGTTTCTACAATTACTACTGTTTTAGTGGACTAGGCTTGGACAACCTGACAGTATCCTGCCCACCCAATACTATGAATATTTCATCAAACAATATCCTGGTGCTCTTGCCACCGCAGATAATCAGCAGCGCCCTATCTGCTGCATCGAGCAGGTTGGTAGGGGTTTGGATGCCACTGCTCAAGCCTTCCCATCTTCTTATTCCCCCTCTTACGCCTTTTCTCTCTTACCGTCCCGTTCCAGCTTCACTTTTATCCCCCCTGTTTTCAACCCCCCAATTCTTGGCCCTCCTCCACCTTGCTTTGCTAAGCTTTTACCTTCTAGTTTCAACTCACATGTGAACGCGGAGCGTCATTCCTGTCCTGTCGACAAGCCCATGTCCAACCAAGCGGCCAGGCTCAGTTCATCGGCTTCCATTGGGAGCCCTCGATTCTCCTTCAGATTGGCATGCCTCAATGTACGCACCTTGCTAGAGATCGGTCCACAGACAGCACTTCCCCGAATATTAGAGACCCTCCCGATCGATATCTGCTGCTTATCGGAGACCCGCCTGCAAGACTCGAGCGCTGTGCTCACTTTGCGATCCCCTTCAGGTGACACCAGCATCACTTTCTCATTACGCCTGTCCGGTGACGATGTAGCTTCGAGCACCAGCCAAGCTGGTGTTGGTATTGCCCTGATTCCCCGGGCTGAAGCTGCTTTGCTTGGTTGGATTCCAATCAGTAGCCGGATGTGTGCGGTCCGATTGGCTGGCTCGTTCAAAGCTTTGAGGCCGCACGGGTCCAACAGGTTTCTATTCATCATCATCATCATCATCATTATACATGTCAGCTAGAGATGGTAAAACACCTCCGCTATTGTACCGCAATACATAAATACGACAGTTGAATGCCAGCTGAGCTACCAGCAACGGATAGGCATCGTTCCGGTAAGCTACCAGCCGGCTACTAGGCAAAAAGAAAAATTATTATGTTTTACGCTATGAGATAAGATCGTAGGTGGAGGGGGAGGCTAAAGGGATGGGGAGGGACAAAGAAACTCACAGCAGGAACGCCACTGAGGTCGGCTCCTTGCCATATAAGCAAGTGTATCCAGCCAAACGTGTTCACCGTCTTTTGGACCCCAACCAGGGAGCCGTGAAGCTCCAACTGAGGCCAGCTCCGAAGTGAGGGCCTTCATTCCTCTGGACCAAGTCATCGCTTGGCCACTTCTCCTCTTCTTCCACCCACATCCCCGGTGAGCAAACAACACACGTCGAGGGAGTCGGTGGGCTGGCATGCGTAACACGTGACCCAGCCATCGGAGCCTGGTGAGTGAAATGACGGTACTGAGCGGTTCATTCCCTTTTCCTAGGCCGTAAACAAGGCGTCGAACACGCTCGTTACTCACGCGGTGGTCCCACCAGATGTGAGCCAAACTGCGAAGGCACCGATGGTCGAACGTAAGTAGCCTCTTCATGTCCGCCGATCTTAGGGGCCAGGTTTCGTGACGCTGATATTGCTCTCCGGCGCAAAATTTCAACCTGAGTTATTCTCAGATAAAAGAAAAAGCCTCTCTACAGTTAGAATACCGCTTAAAGTGGCACAAAATTACACTGGTCTGGACCAGCTTTAGCGCCTGAATACGTTGAATGTAAAAGCAACACAATACGTGCAGTAGTTTGCGAGTTATTCGCAATTAAATGATGGTCTACGAATAAGGCCATTTTTATTTTTTGCTAAAAATGGCTTTCTGCTTTGCAAGCAGATAGCAGGAAAAAGAAAAGAAAATATAAAAAGTAGGGAAGCGGCGTATGTTCTAGATAGGCATAGCTATCCAGAAATGCTCTAATTAGCCCGTAATACCCTGCGACAACTACGGACTGCCCAGGTGGCCGAAAAGTAAACTTTGCAGGCATACATGACAAATATATGCAGATAAGGGATGAGCTTGCGCGAAAACGCTAGAAATCCAGCAAGGAATATTATATCCACATGGAGATTCAGGGGAGCTTGTAATTAGCTCACGGTTAGAAGGCCACAGCATACTATTTTCAGTGGATACTGAGCCACATAAACAACCAGTAAAATAGAGTTTAGCATTTTTTAAGCCTCTAAGCTTTTCTAAAGCTTACAACAAGCCCGCATGAGCCAGGTCTAGCTGAGTAACCCTGGGGATCTTTCAGATCCGTTGACAGATTTCGGCCTACAAAATACACACATTACTTAGCTAAACATCACAAGATTTATCCCTTAGAGCCGATTTTCTATATTCATGAGGCTCTGTCTCTAACGTCAGTGAGCTATAGGTGCCTGCCACCAATAACAAAGAAATAAGCATGGGAAAATTAGTAAAATTTAGCTAATTGCATTTGGGCTTGAAATCCGTTTTGGTCTACATTGATTGGGCTTTGACAACTCTACTTCTGGTGGTTGAGCTTGCTCATACTTGTGGTATTGTTATGCCTCATGTGTAGATGCACACTATTGTGCAGCTCTTTGATGAATTTCGATTTATTTCTCTCCATTTTTAGGTTCCGAAGATAGTGCCGGTGGTGTTCATCCAGTTGGCAATGTTAACTGGTACTCTAATGACACACCGATTATTTCTTTTGTGATTTTCCTGGCAAGAGCTGTTCTAGCACCCTTAGCAAAGAGCGATAAGGTAAAGCAGGAGTAGAATAGTAACAAAAACCAGTGGGAGCTGGTCGTTCACTCGCCATTACGCATAGCGCATGGTAGGCTTTGGAGCCAGCTAAAAGATAAGTGACGCACGGACGGCCAAGATAAGAAAAGTGGTGATGGAAAGTTTCTGGTGCTCCAGCCAGCCAGTGTGACAGGGGCCTCTCTGTCGTTGGTTAGCTTTCATGCCAGTGAAATGAAATCTGGAAA